AGGTCATGATCTCATGGCTTGTGAGTTCAAGCCCCACATCAGGCTCTGTGCTAACAGCTCAGAGCCAGGAGCCTACTTCAGACTCTGTGTCTCCCTCTCTCTCTGCCCTTCACCCACTCATGCTCTGTGTCTCTCTCTAAGAATAAATAAAACATTAAAAAAAAAATCTTATCTAGCATGTTAACGTTCAGAATTGAAGAAGAAATAGTTTCCCAGGCAAAAGTTAATGGCCCTAACTATGGCATATCATTTTAAGTATATATGTGGCAATTATTTAAAATACTGAAAATGTGGATTACATGTCAAGTACAGACATTATAAAAATCATTTCTAAACAAAAGTTTTAGCTCAATTTACTTGAGTTGATATTTAATAAATAGAAAAAATTAATTTGATCCTGGGAAGGGCACTGATGTAGGAAATGGGGATAAAGATTATGATTGCTGGCTTTGAGGCTGACTTGCCTACTTCCTGCAAAGAATGTCAAGGACAAGTTTAACAATAACTTTCTCCCTCTTGTGCTAAGGGATCTGTAGCAAACAGCACCCTCTATCAGTTCTATGAATCTGTGAACTTCTCTTTGTGTTTAGGACCACAAATGATTTTTGATGATTCTCTTTAATGTAAATATCTCTTCATTTCCTCCATTTACAGCACGCCTCATTTTTAGACACAATCTTGAATGAATTAACATTTCATACATAATCTTTAATTTGGAACTTCCCTTCCCAAGCAAAGCTTGAGGGTAACTAATATTTTGATGATTTCAGCAACTGTAAAGATTTCCAACTTTGCCTCAATTGTATTATCACTTGTCTCAGCAAAATTTTTGTTCTGCACTCATTTAAAAAAGAAATAAGGGAAGATTGCGAAAAAGATATCAAAATATTTATAAAATCACACAGTTTCATAAAAGTATCTTTCTCCTAGGCCTGGTGATGAATGTTCCAAGGCTCTGATTCCTCCAACAGTTGCTGCAGGTGATATTCTTCAACCCTAGGTATCTTCAGGGCACTTAATGGGGGCCCTACACTTGGCAGAACCACCAACTCTCTGTAAAAATTTTAACACTTTTGATATGGTAATTTATAATAAATATGTATTTGGCCTTTGTCTTCTTCCTGGCACAGAGTTCCTAAAATTCTTGGAATTCCCAGTGATAAGAATAATACAGGTGTCTCATGTTACAAGATGACTTTTGGAAAGCACATAAAAGTGGGAAATGATTGCCAGTAGAGCCAAACATGGAATTAGAGGGTTAGAAGTTTCAGTCTTATTCCCCCTCCAATTTCCTGGGAGGGGAGAGGGCTGTAGATTGAGTTCAATCACTAATGAGCAATGATTTAATCAATTATGCCTATGTAATGAAGCTTTCACAAAACTCCAAAATCAGAGTTCTGGTAGCTTCTAGGTAGGTGAACACATGAAGATTTGGGCGGAGTGCCATGATTGCCGTGAAGCCTTCATGCCCTTTCCCCATACCTTGTCTTATGCATCTCTTGCATCTGGCTATTCCTGAGTTACATCGTTTTGTATAAATCAGTAATTTGGTAACTAAAGGGTTTTGCTGAGTTTTGTGAGCTGCTCTAGGAAATTACTCAAACCCAAGGAGTGGGTTATTGGGACCTTCAATTTATAGCCAGCGGGTCAGAAGTACAGGTGTTGTGTATTGGTTTAATATGATTTCAAATCCATTAGTTTATAACAAAGACAAATAAAAGTTGCTTTCATAGGTAACGTTTTGATATAAAAATAAAGAAAAAAATTAAAAAGTTGTTTCAGGATATCATTATCTTATCTCTTCTTACTGATAAGAACTCAGTAGCTCAGCTGCTGAGGAGCCCTGCTGGAGGCTTATCAGTAAAAATATGTGAAGAAGCAACACTGAAAAGGAGACATTTATACTACCAAGAGTGTTTAGTATGGGCAAGGCTACAATTTGCTGATCTAAATAGCCTTCTGAGAACTTGGGGAAAGTTAGCTCCTGCCATGATAAAACCGGCAGTGGTGAAAGCCATGCAACAGCCTAATGAAGATCATCTTGCCCATCTACACCTTGCCATCGTTCCCTATCAACATGCCATAGCACAGGGGAATTTATGGTTTGCAAACCTCTCTGTTTTTATCTTCTTTTTCCTTCCCTTCTATGTTCATCTGTTTTGTTTCTTAAATTCCACAAATGAGGGAAATCATAGATTTTTTGTCTTTCTCTGACTGACTTACTTTGCTTAGCATAATAGTCTGGGTTTTTTAAAAAAATAATGTTTATTTTATTTGAGAGAGAGAGAGAGAGATGGAGCATGAGCAAGGAAGGGGCCAAGAGAGGGGGAGACAGAGAATCAGAAGCAGGCTCCAGGCTCTGAGCAGTCAGCCCAGAGCCTGACACAAAGCTTGAACTCATGGACCATGAGATCATGACCTGAGTTGTAGTCAGTCACTTAACTGACTGAGCCAGCCAGATGCACTGAGTCTGGTTTTTTTAAACAACAGCCTAACTCATGCTCAACCCGCAACACTGCTATCTGAGGTGGAGGTCTGCCTTTCTCCAGACTCACATCCATGTGGTGGGGTGTCTACAACCATCTGTTTCACCCCTTCCAGTCATATGCACCTTGGTTTCTGGGCCCCAGAGAGATCCCAGGGTTCCCTGGGTATCAACTGGGTCTAAAGGGATGAGGGATGGAGGATTTCTGGGAAAGCCAGACCCTGGACAAGGAAGCCAGATCTCTAGAGGTGGTGGTGGTGGGAGAGTGTTATGGGGGACTTTCCCCAAGGGCATCTTTGACCTCCTGTCCCTGCCTCTGTTCTATGATTAACCCAAGACTTCCTCACTGTGCCCCTCCTTCTGTCACTTGAAGGCCCTGAGTCATTATTTTAACTCTCCCCGAGGACACGGAGCATCCTTCAGTCCTCTATTGCTCAGCTCTTCACTTCTCCTTTGATACACTGCTCCATGATGGCTTTTGGAATTATGCTCCTCTTAGGTGGTAAGTGGGGGGCCTCAGAGCTGGGAGAGGTCTAAGGAGGAGTGTGTCTGGTAGGCATTCTGGGGCTTGTGCTCAGCCCATATAGCTGTGTGGAGGAGCTGAGAACAAGGGAGACCCCTAGTGTCTAGAATCTGGTGTGGAAAGAAGAATGACCTAGAATCAGAGGAGGATCACAACCCTGAGCAAAGACGAGAGAAGATGAACTCATAGGCTAAGTTTGGGTGAAGAATGAGCTACTCCTCCACATTCCCCAAGGTTTCCCCCCACCTTGTGTCAGGGTCCTAGTGTATGTGTGTGGTATGGGTGACAGGAGTCAGTCTCAGAGCCCCAGGGGGAAAGGCCTTAGAAGTCACTAGGGAGGGGCGCCTGGGTGGCTTAGTCGGTTGAGCGTCCAACTTTCGCTTAGGTCATGATCTCGCGGTTCAGGGGTTCGAGCCCCGCGTTGGGCTCTGTGCTGACTGCCAGCTCAGAGCCTGGAGCCTGTTTCAGAATATGAATCACCCTCTCTCTCTGACCCTCCCCTGCTCACGCTGTCTCTCTCTCTCTCCTAGAAATAAATAAAAAAATAAAAATTAAAAATAAAGAAAGAAGTCACTAGGGAGAGGAAACTTTGGATATCTCCCTCTTGGTCCTGCATCTCATTTACGTCTTGATTTCAAGTGGGCTGTTCCATGGCCGCCAAGAGAATAGTCCAGGAATTGAACCTGTAACAGGACCACATGCATGTGTCATTTGAAATCTCTTGTGTGTCAGTTAAAAATCAGATTCCACACAAAAATCCAGATTTTCAGCTTCTCTCGAGAAATGGGAAGGTCTGGACCTCTGAGTACTAGAGGCTGGTAATGGCTTCCCCCTTTAAAAGGGCCACAAACTCTAAGTGCCTACAATTCCCTGGTGCTCACACTTACCCACTTCACTCACTGATGTCACCCTCTTGGCCTCTGAGGCATTTGAGTCTGAGACCTTTGGCATCATCCTACTTGTCTGGTCATAGGTTCTTCTTTCAGACTTGGAAGTAGAATCATCCTGTGAGGAGATTTGGTGTGGGAAGCTCCCTTGCATATGGCCATGGTAGGGTTATGTCACAGTCAACGTCTGGCCTTTCCCCAGGACCCCAAGGGTCAGTTGTTTGGACCTTGCCTGTCACTTCTTGGGCTAATGCATTAACTCCTTAGAGCTTCCCTACTTTGGGGGTTGGAGTTGACTCCTCAATCCAGAGACAGGTGGGAATTCTAGTAGAAATGGGGAAGAAAGATGCTGTCTAGGAGTGAGAGTATTGGGAAATATAGAGGGTCTTCCACCTAGGTTTTTGAGCTTAGTCACAAGAGAGGAGAATGTGAAGGATCAGGAGAGTGGGTGGAATTCTGGCTGTACCAGGGACTTGCTGTGCAGTTCTGGGTCAGTCAACAAATTAGACACCTGCTGAAGGCCAGGCACTGACTCAGGCACCAATACAAGATAGTTGCAGTCTCTGTCATCTTAGAGCCTAGCACCAAGGAAGGGGGACACAGGAAACACATAATAATAAATAATTAATCATAAAATTCTAAGTCTGTTTCCCCATCTGGACCTTAGGGTGGACGATGGTGTAATTATTAATAGTGCCCCTTTCATCCTCAGAAGGTCTCAGTTTAGGTAATAAATTCTATGATCACTAAGGGACATTCTTGAGATAACATACCATGAGGGGACAGGCTCAATTTCAGATTGTAGGTGTCCTTTGAAATTTCCTTCAGGGGGCATTTCTCTGGATTCTTGCCCTTTGTATTGAGGTTTGATTATTGCTCAGGAAGAGAGAGACAGGAACCACATAGATGGCAAATCAGGAAACAAAGAAAAAGAACACCCTTGTCTTGGGAGGATGAGGTGGACTAGGATGGGGATCAAGATCCCAAAATCAGGGAACAAGAGGAGATGAGGCTTCTCTGACTCTTCCTCCCACTCTCACATCCCTCTCCAAATTCATCAGTGCTGACTTCATATCATGGATTCAACTTGGATGTGGAGGAGCCCATGGTCTTTCAAGAGGATGGAGCTAGCTTTGGACAGAGTGTGGCCCAGTTTGGCAGATCGAGGTAAGCCCTGCCTACTCCCCCAACCCTCACTGCCTCAGCCTGCAGACAAATGGATGAACATGGCATGCTCAGGAGGTGTCTGGAGGATGGGCGACATAGGCAAGAAGCCTGTCCATCGCTCTTCTGGCATTACTCCCCTGACACCACTACTACCAACTATTCACAGTCCCAGGAAGGGCCACAAACTCTGAACAAGACACTCTTTCAGGAGTAAGGTCTTGAATCTCTCCTCTACGCAGAACTCACTTCATGGCATGTGACCAGCGTAAGTAACCAGTGCAGTTACCCTTGCACTTGGAATAATGTTTTTCAGTCTTCTTGAAATTAAGAATTTAATCTCACCACATTTGTGTCTTGTTACTAAGATTGGTAGGAAAGTGGAGATGTGCTGGGGGCTTGGAGCTTTGGCTCACATGCAGTCCAGCCTTCTGTGGAATAGTTCTCTGCCTGTTTCCCCACCCCCACCCAATGACCACTGCTGTCCTCAGCCCCTGGTACGAGTTAGGCAAGGTCAAGGTTGGCTGTGCACAGTTCGCTGGGTCCTATGAGGGTTTGCACTGGCCCTGTGAGTATCTCTGTGCCTGGGGGTATTCCAACACTAAATAGCAAACAGGAAACACCAGGACAGGTAAAGAGGAGAACTACTTCAGGGGAAGGAGGGGGGCTTCTTTTTTTCTAAAACAAGAAGCCTACATTTTTATTTCACACTGAGACTGTCAATTATATACCTCACCCTGCATCCAGAAACTTATTCTCAGGTCTCAGCAAAGTTGGGTTTGTTAAAGTCACAATGTGATGCAAGTATAACTGAAGTCTGGGAGGCATAAGAAGGAAGAGATCAAACCCAGGAGGAAATTCTAGGAAGGCTTCACAGAGGAGGTCAAGTTGGCAATGAACCTGAGAATACAAGAATATTTAGTTGGCCAAGAAGTAGCATATTGAGGTCACTGATTTCTGAAAGCACGTCCACCCCCCTTCCTCACCCAGCTCACAGGTTGGGGCATGGAAGCAAATGCCAGATGTCAGAGTTATGTATTTTCTTGGTTTGTTTGTTTTGAAATATATAGCATATAAACTTAAGTGCCCAATCTTTGAAGGTCCAATTCAGTCAATTTTTCCTGTGTGTATACCCAGGTAAAAGCCACCTGGATTGAGGTGTAGAACATCCTCAGCCCGTCTCCCCTGGATTTCCTTAGGCCTTTCCTGATCACCCAAAATCCAAAAAATCTAAAGATAGCTACTGTCACACTTCCATTAACATCAGTTATATATAGTTATATATATATTATATACAGTATATATAAATATCACTACTGATTGACTGCTGTTCACTAGTATTTACAAAAAAGTAAATATATAGATTGGATGACATAATGATTGCTACAAAGTTATTGGTTTTCCTGTTGTCTGTTGAAACACAAGTGAAATACTGAAAAGTCTAGGCCTATGAGTCAGGAATAGATAGGGTAAAGAAAAACATGCCGATGAAAAGTTGCTCACCTATTTATGCCAACAGGTCCCAAACTGCTACATCATCTATTTAGGTTTTCATGAGCAAGTGTTAGACCCACAAGGATTTCAGCTTTCCACAAAGGAATAGTTTCTAGAAGGAAGATTTAAATGCTAACTTAATGTGGTTTGGCTGGCTAATTAAGTAAAATACACCAATATTTGTCTAGTTTTTTCATCTGTGTGGACAGGTTGTTGGCAGAGATAAAATTTTTTTCAAAGCTGAAAAATTCTCTCCTCTCAAAAAGTTTTCATGAGGGAAAAGAAGGGAGAAAATAGTTGGGGAGAGGGAGGGAGGCAAACCATGAGAGACTCTTGAATGCTGAAAACAAACTGAGGGCTGATGGAGGTGGGGGAGGGGGGAAGGAGGGTGATGGGCATGGGGGAGGGCACTTGTTGGGATGAGCACTGGGTGTTATATGGAAACCAACTAGACAATAAATTATTAAAAAAAAGTTTTCCAAATAAATTGTTGCATTTATATGACTATAGATATTTTATGGAGTCTGATACTCCTGCTTTTAGTTGTCCAACTCAAATTGTTTGTTATGTTTAAATTATTCAATTAATTACAGAATCATCTTTTTTTTTTAATACCTTATGGCTTTAAAATTTTCCATGTAGGAGTACCTGACTGACTCAGTCAGCTAAACATCCGAGTTTGGCTCAGGTCATGATCTCTCAGTTCATGGATTAGAGGGCCACATCCAGCTTTGCACTGACAGTATGGAGCCTGCTTGGGATTCTCTGTCTCCCTCTCTCTCTGCCGCTCCCCCACTCATTCATGCTCTCTCTCTCTCAAAAATAAATAAACATTGAAAAAATTGTTTCCATATAACTTGAGGTGATCTATTTCTTGGGTGGCTCAGAATGATGGTACCCCAGGAACAAAAGGCACTTACCCACAGTTGGAAGATTTTATTTCTGTTTTGAATAGATTTATTTTTGGTGAATGTTAAAAAACAACACTCAAGCCATTTGTCTATACAAATACACATTTATTTATGTATACTTGCACATAAACAAACAAAAAGTCCAGAAAGGTCCTTCAGCACATGTGGGTTAAACTGAAGCTCTCCTTTTTGAATGGCCTCATGAGTGGCAAATGCCAAGAGCTTCCCTCTCAAATTCTCACTTCCCTGTTACATGGTGATACTTCCTCACCTGAATCACCCTGTGCCTTTTCCCCTCCTGCAACTATATGTCATGCTTGTGCTTCCAGACTCGTGGTGGGAGCCCCCCTGGAGGTGGTGGCAGCTAACCAAACAGGACGGTTGTACGACTGTGCAGCTGCCACCGGCCTGTGTCAACCCATATCAGTGCACGGTGAGTGACTCCACCTGGGAACTGGGGCCCTCAATCCTCCTGTACTGGAATGTCTCTCCTTGGCCTCTAGCTCTGACTCTCCCCACAAATGAGGGTGTGCCCATGAGTGTGATCATGTGTATCTGCCCTCAGCACCACCAGAGGCCATGAACATGTCCCTGGGCCTGTCGCTGGCAGCCTCCACCAATCGCTCCTGGCTGCTGGTAAGTTTCCATCGGATATAGGAGGATCATAAGGGCAGGAGTAGGGGCCAGAGAGGCTTGGCCTGGGGGAGAACACTATGGAGAAATCTAGGGGCCCCTTTGCTCACACAGGTCTCTGCCCCTAGGCCTGCGGCCCAACCATGCGTAGAGCCTGTGGGGAGAATATGCATGCAGAAGGCTTCTGCCTCCTGTTGGGCTCCCGCCTGCAGACCATTAGGACACTGCCTGATGCCTTCCCAGGTAGGTCCCTTTAGAGACAGTGTCTCTGTTTTATGCACATGCTGGCACTGAGGAGTGGGCAGAGCATGAGACCGCAGTCTTGGCCTCCTGTGCTCATGGCCCCTTCCCAGAGGCCTCAGCGAGCCCAAGAAGGTCTGGGAACAAGGTCTGGCCTGGCAGGGAGGACAGCTCACAGCAGGATCTCTAAGCTGGTCGAGGGGAGAAAGTTCTGATAGGCAGAAGGGAGCCCCAGAGTGCTGGCAGCAGGGGGCATGAGGATCTCGCAGCTGCCGACAGGTGCAGAGCTGCTTCTTGGGCTTTCAGAGGAAAAGTCTTGGATGGTGAAAATGTGTCAGGATGATAGATCCAGGGATCCAAGAACAAGGGCGTTTCTGATCACTCACTGCTGAGTTTCTAAGGGGAGCGAATGTCAGGGCCATGGAAAATATGATGCACACTTTTGCTGCCAATGTCTTCCACAGAGAATGGTGCCAGGGACACTGAACATCATCTCTCTGAGAGTCATTCTGAATAAGAGTGACTTAATTCCCTGGGGTTTCATTTCCTCATTGGTAAACTGGGTCTTAATAATCAAGGTGGTTATGAGGATTAAAAGATTATATATATATATATATATGTATGAAGTGTTTAGACCTTTGCCTGGCACATAATGTGTGACTACTGTTATGACTGATCTTCTAGCTAGGACGCTGTTTTTGGACTAGGAGGAAGATACAGATAAATTGCCTTCTCTGTGGCATCAGAGGAGATGCTGAGCTCCAAGTAAGAGCTAGGGGCACTCAAGGTGCTGACTGAGAGCAATGCATTAGACCAGAGAAGCCATGGTACCAGGCATAATGGGCTTTTAGGCAAGGTGAAGTAGCAGCAGAAACACCTCTCAATAGAACTGTGAGAGCAGAGTCTACAGAGGGGACAGAGAGAGTGGAGGAAGGGTGTCCTGGAGTCTTGGGGGCACCATGGCCTGCCTTGGATGTCAGTGCAGCCAGGGTAGGGGATGTGGTATTTCATCACTAGGAAGTAGATTCTTAATCATCACCTATTTAACCCATCCCTCCACCTATTCTGGAAAGGATCAGTTTGTTGTCTATAGTTGAGAGTCTCTTTTTCTGTTTCTCTCTGTCTCTGGCAAAGTCCCTTTTTGTTTTGTTTCTTAATGTTTGGGCAGTGGATTTGGGCCTTTTCTGTGGAGGGTGTTGGAAACTTGGTAGGAATTGATTCCTAGGTCAAGAATGACCCTTTAAGTCTGTGGAGCAGGAAGGGTTTCTGGGCCCTGGGAGATGGCTGGGACCCGCAGAAGCATCTCTGATTCCTTCCTTCTTCTCTACAGAGTGTCCAAGTCAACAGATGGACATTGTCTTCCTGATTGATGGCTCTGGAAGTATTGACCAAAGGGACTTTAAGCAGATGAAGGACTTTGTCATAGCTGTGATGGGACAGTTTGAGGGCACCAACACGCTGGTGAAGATTGGGTCCCCAAGACCTGGGGAGTGCTGGGGGTGGTGACTGCCTTTGGGGAAGGCCAGCCTAGGAGGGCGGTTGGCATCGCTGGGGGTGGGCTCAGTGGACCTGTGCTATGATAAGGCTAGGGTCTTGGTGCAGGGCTGATTTGTGCCCTTACCTGAGGAAATTCCCCTGTGGCATTTAATATGTCCTCATAAGATTTAGGAAATATAGGTGTTCTTTTTTACTGTTTTAAAGCATTGAAAGGATTGCAAAAATAGTTTTGCTATGAAATTAGACTGAAGATAACTTGGCCAAACACTTAATGATTTCTTTGTTGTGTTCTCCATGCAACTCATGATTTATCTTATCATTTTATTTCTCATTAATTAGTGTGTATGTATGTATGAATTCTTGAGAAATAAGGAAACATAGCCTACAAATTGATTTCATATGTTACGAAGGTTTTAAAAATTCCTATTTTAACAGATATTGCAGTATTGCCAAAGTATGAAAAAAGCACTATTTGGTTTTGAGTTTCTGGTTTTCCTTTTGAAATAATATCCCCCTGTGTTTTAGCCTCAAAAAACACATGTAAATTCTTTGTAATTCCAAAATGATTCAAAACAAAAGACATTAAAAAACAACTCTTGAGCTCCAAGAGCCTTTTTTTAAATAATATTTTTATTTATTTCTAGGAGAGAGAGAGAGAGACAGCGTGAGCAGGGGAGGGTCAGAGAGAGAGGGAGACTCAGACTCTGAAATAAGCTCCAGGCTCTGAGCTGGCAGTCAGCACAGAGCCCGACGTGGGGCCCGAACCCACGAACCGCGAGATCATGACCTAAGCGAAAATCAGACGCTTAACTGACTAAGCCACCCAGGCGCCCCTCCAAGAGCCTTCTTCTTGCCCTTTGCAGTTCTCACTGATGCAGTATTCCCACCATCTGGAGATCCACTTCACCTTCACCGAATTCCAGAGTAGCTCAAGCCCTAGGAGACTGGTTGATCCAATTGTCCAATTGAATGGCCTGACTTATACAGCCACAGGCATCCTGACAGTGGTGTAAGTTCCCCCTTCTGCCACATGTGGACACACTGCAACATCACTTCCTTATGCGGGTCTCCACAGCTCTTCTCCAGGACTGTGGAAGGCTCTGGGGAAAGGGTGTCTAATGGGAGTGAGGATCTCTGGGCAGAGTCCTCCATAGAATGTTCCCTAGATATAGGATGGGACTCTTCTGCAGTGTTTCCTCTTTGCCTGGCCTTGGATTGGCTGGACCCAGATTCTACCTAGAGCAGCCAGAGACGAGCTTTGTTTGGGTCAGATACCCTGAGTTCTCATTCTGGCTCCCTGCTGTGACCTGGGAAACCCTGGGAGTTACTGACTTTAGTCTCAGATGACTACTAAGAGAGGATAAACTTAGAACTTAGTTGTAAGGATTACATGAGATAATATGCACGTCATGCATGACACAGTCTGAGGGTACAAGGATTCCCCAGTCTCTCCAGATGAGCTTCTAGCACAGAAAATTATTTCCTCCAGAATCAATTTCGTCTCAGGAGAGTCAACTCCTTTTCTTCTTTGACAGGAAAGAACTATTTCATAGTAAGAATGGTGCCCGTGAAAGTGCCAAGAAGATCCTCATTGTCATCACAGATGGACAAAAATACAAAGACCCCCTGGAATACAGTGATGTCATCCCCCAGGCAGAGAAAGCCGGCATCATTCGCTATGCCATTGGGGTACGTCCTCTTCCTCATGGCTCCTTCACCTAAGGTTGCATCTCACCCAGGCAGAAAGGCCGGTGGGCTCCTCTTCAGCTGCCTCTCTGCCACAGGTGGGAGATGCCTTCCGGAAACCCTCTGCCAGAGAGGAGCTGAACAAAATCAGCTCAGTGCCCTCTGAGGATCACGTGTTCAGGGTGGACAACTTAGCAGCGCTCAGCGGCATCCAGGAGCAGCTGCAGGAGAAGATCTTTGCAATGGAGGGTAAATGTGGGGCAAGCTTACGTCTTGGAATCTAAACGTTCCAGATCCAGTTGTTCCTGCAGTTCTGAGAGTCAATCCCTATTCGCAAGTCACCCAAAATTGAGCCCCAAGAGCTGAGCCCCAGACTCGTTATTCTTCTACTCTGAGTCCTTGTGGTCTCAGGGTCCCCAGAGCCTAAGTGACTTGTTTTCCCACAGGAACCCAGTCGAGGACAAGTAGCTCCTTCCAGCATGAGATGTCACAAGAAGGCTTCAGTTCAGTGCTCACAATGGTGGGTGGAGCATGTACTTGATAAACAGGTCTCAGGCACCCATCCTGGGCCAGACCTGTGCTGGGACCCGGGACCCAGAAGGAAATAAGAAGTGGATCCTGTCCTCCAGGTCCCTGTCTGTTTGGAGAGAGGCATGCAGGCAGTGTATGTAGGTGCTAGGAGGACAGCAGAGAAAGGATAACCAAGGTTCCTGCTCTCACACAGAGCACATATCCAGTGGGAGGAGACAATAAACACAAACAAAAGATCTTCAGATTGTGCTAGGTGTTAGGACAGAGAGAGAGAAGTGGTCAGAGGAGGCCTGAGGAATAACAACTGAGGCTGAATGATGAGAAAGGGCTAGGCCTGGAAAAATCTGGGGAGAGATTGCTCCAGGGAGAGGAAAAGGCAAGTGCAACGGTCCTGAAGCATGAACACGGTTACTGTCCTAGAGAGATCAAAGGGACAGAATAGCTGGAGCAAAGTGGGTGAGGGGCAGCATGGAAGGAGTGGGTGAGAGATGGGAAAGGCCAGGTGATGCAGACCAAAGAAATGACAAGACAGCGTGACTTATGTGAAAAGTAGATGTGTGTTCAAAATATCCAGAGGGATTTTCTGCAAAAGAGTTTTGGGGGTGAGTAGGGGGGACATAGAAATGAATCAAGGTTGCTAATGAATTGATCATTGATCTTTATGAGTTCATTATGCATTTCTTTCTGCTTTTGTATATGTTCTAAATTATCCATAGCCAAAAGTTTAGAAAGGCAATAAGCAAAGTATGCAGATTAGGAAACATCCATCACTCCTGAGGGAGCCAAGGAAGGAGCCACAGAGGAGGTGGCTTTGAGGGTGACTTTGCCCAAGAGAGGAACTGAGTTCCAGAAAGGGAGAAGAGTGAGGTGACCAGGTCAAACACTTGATGTGTTGAAAACATGGGGCAATTCCACAGGTTTGACTAGGGAAGACCCGAGATGCCATCTTCAGGGGCTTGGTGACAAGGATCCATCTTGGGTTGCTGGCTGGGTGGTGGCTGTATATTTGGTCTGAGGAGACCTAACACTGGGGAGGATGGAGCAGAGAAGAACACGATGGGTGGCAGAAAGGGCAGTGGGTGAGAAGAGATGGGACTTACTGGAACAGGGCTCTGGGGATGGACTGAGAGACCTGCGGAGTCAGGGATTTAAGCTGCTGGACAGGACTGGGGAAGGAAAAGAGAATTTTTTTATATTAATAATGAGTGGAGTCGGTGGCAGGCATTGCTTTGGAATAGGCTGCCTTGTTTTGACTTTAACCTGCTCAGCCCTGGAATCCTTTCCTGCCAGGATGGCCCAGTTCTGGGGGCTGTGGGGAGCTTCAGCTGGTCTGGAGGTGCCTTCCTATACCCCCAAAATACGAGCCCCACTTTCATCAGCATGTCGCAAGAGAATGTGGACATGAGGGACTCCTACCTGGGTGAGAAAAGGCTGTGGTTGGAGGCACAGAGGGGAGGAGATGAGCTGCCTGGAAAGGGCAGGAGCTTAAAGGCTGAGGTGGAAGCTTTTGTGCTGAGGTCTGCACCCACCCCCCCAGGTTACTCCACCGAGCTGGCCTTTTGGAAGGGGGCGAAGAGCCTGATCCTGGGGGCTCCCCGCCATCAACATACTGGGAAGGTTGTCATCTTCAGCCAGGAGTCCGGACAATGGAAGCCAAAGGCTGAAGTTGCGGGGACCCAGGTTGGGTGTAGAGGAAGCCAGAGTGGACCATGAGGGTGGCAGGGTCTCCAGGGATGGAAAAGAAGGAGATGAAGGGTTTGGGGGCCCACGGGGTAAGTTTCTGGTGGCTGGGGAGATGCAAGACCTGTCTCAGAAGGAGGCGCCTCTGCCAGCGGCAGGCAGGGTGACTTCACCCTCTGCCCTCCAGATCGGCTCCTACTTTGGGGCCTCCCTCTGCGCTGTGGATGTGGACAGAGATGGCAGCTCTGACCTCGTCCTCATTGGGGCTCCACATTACTACAAGCCGACCTCGGGTGGCCAGGTGTCCACGTGCCGCTTGCCCCAGGGGGTGAGTGTGTGATGAGACTTGGGTTGGGTGGGGCCTGGGTGTGGGGTGGAGGGGTTGCCTGCGTCGGGACCTGACACTTGTTTGTTCTGCAGAGGGCTAGGTGGCAGTGTGAGGCCGTTCTCTGTGGGGAGCAGGGCCACCCCTGGGGCCGCTTTGGGGCAGCCCTGACAGTGCTGGGGGATGTGAACGGGGACAGGCTGACAGACGTGGCCATCGGGGCCCCAGGAGAGCAAGAGAACCGGGGTGCTGTCTACCTATTTCATGGAACCTCAGAACTGAGCATCAGCCCCTCCCATAGCCAGGTGAGGCCCCTCTCTGAACCCTCTTCGGGTTCCACCTCCTTCCCATGTCTTGGATGTGCCTGATGTCCCTGTGCCCCTTGTCATGGACCTTAATAGTAGCCATTCTCCTCTCAGGGCTTTAGTACTATGAATGTCACCAGGCCCAGCTAAGCACAAATTATCTTCTTTTGTCCTTTGGCTCCAAACAGACTTCAACCTGTTGTGGGCAGTTTAGTGCTTAGGAGATTGCAGGCGCTGGTCAAATGCCTGGCCGGCCATGTCAGTTGTGTGGCCTTAGGCATTTGACCAGTTAAACTGGTTTAACCTCTATGAGCTTTAGTTCCCTTCTATGAAACATTAAATGATAAGCTCCATAGGCTTCTTGTAAAGATGACTCAATGGAGTACTAAGTACCCTGTTCATCAAATATTTATGAAGGAACATACAAGTGATGAGAAAATGAACCTATCATATTTCTATTGTTACATTTTATTTTTCTCATTAGCCTGTACCCTCACTAGAGTTGGACCAAAGGAACTCTCCTCTCTCTGTCTGGGGTCCCTGGGGTCTCCCTACACTTGCTTTCTATTCCTACCTCTTCATCTCTCCTTTTCAATTTTTTCCATTCAGTTCTGCTTTCGCTGTAGTCTCCTTTCCAGATCTTCCTTCTCAAACCTTTCAAATGACCTTCCCTTGACTTCTGCTTCTCCTTTCCCTCTCTGGCCAGCGGATTGCAAGCTCCCAGCTCTCTCCCACACTCCAGTATTTCGGCCAGTCGCTGAGTGGGGGTCAGGACCTCACCCAGGATGGACTAGTGGACCTGGCTGTGGGGGCCCAGGGACAGGTGCTGCTGCTCAGGTGACAACTCCCCACATCCCACTCTTGGCCTCTGTGTGTCCAGTTCAACAAGCTATCCCCCACCCCCCGTTCTCCTTCCCAAATCAGACTCAGATCCTTGGCCCCTGTTTGCACCCTCAGGAGTCAGCCCGTGCTTGATGTGGGGGTGACTCTGAGATTCATGCCCTCAGAGGTGTCTAAGGCTGTGTACCAGTGCCTGGGAGAGGAGCCCACCACTCTGGAAGCTGGAAATGCCATGGTCTGTCTCACTATCCACAAAAGGTCACTGGACCAGCTAGGTGAGTTTCTTCCTAGTGAATCCAGCCCCTTACCCCATAAAGGTCCCCACCTTATCCTCAGGAGAGAATGGGCCCAGGAATCCAAATACTGCCTCCACATCCACCCAGATGCCAGTGTTGGAAACCTGGGTCCCTTCTCATCACCTCTCCCAGCACCCAGGCCATAGGTTCTATCTCCAGGATACATCTGCCCATTTCTCTCCACTAGCCCCAGCCACCGCCTACCTTGAGGCCACCACTTCTCTTTCCTACCTATATTTTGAGCTGTTCTAATGTCTGTTTTTGCAGCTCCCGCACTTTCTCCATAGAGAAACTATAGGTATTGTTTCTAAAATGCAAATCGAGTTTCCTTACTTCCTTGTTTAACACCCTTCCAATACTTTCTTCTTGCATTTAGAAAGACCAAAATCCTTCCCTACAATGTCCTTGCTGACTTTGCTCTTCTCTGCCCTTCCAAACTCACCTCATCCTACTCTCCCTTTTTGTAATTGTGCCATCACCCCTCTCCCTTCTGGTCTTAGCCATTGTTCCCATGGTCTGGGATTTTCTCCTCCCTATTCTTCACCAACCCCTTCTTATCCTCCATGTCAGAACTCAGCCAAGGCCCACTCAGGGAGGCATCTCTGACGTCCAGCAAGCCCTCCTTAATACAACTGAGGATCCCACTGTTGAGTTGATCATTGTATGATATTAAGTCTTACATACTCATCTCTTTTCCTAGACTCTGAGCTTGGGACTATATTTCTCTATCTTCTCCTCTACCTTTATTCCCCGCATCTGATACATCTCATGACCCATAGAAAGTGCACAGCAAATATTTATTGCATGAATGAAAAAAAAAGCCCATAGAATTTCAGAGGTTCTCTTTGACTTTTCATCTTCTGTTTCCCATTCTGCTTCAGGTGATGTCCAAAGCTCTGTCAAGTATGATCTGGCATTAGACCCAGACCGTCTGATTTCTCGTGCCATTTTTGATGAGACCAAGAACTGGACTTTGTCTCGAAGAAAAACCCTGGGGCTGGGGGATTACTGTGAAACCATTAAACTGCTTTTACCAGTAAGGACTTTGGGTCCTGGGAGGGGGAGGGGGAGATGGAGCCCAAGGCCAGTCTCTGGCACCTCCCCTCCCTGTTGAGTGAGGTAGAAAGGGCGGGGGCAGGGGGGCCCACGAGAGGAAAGTTGAGGTCAGAGTACCTGGCTGAACAGCTTACACAGATTTCTGCCTAGACAGCAGGAAATGGATGCATTTGAGAAGGGCCAGTGGTGGAGACTAAGGGGAAGGATAGTGGGTTTTTGAAAGCCTATTCTCCCTCAGGACTGTGTGGAGGACGTGTTGAATCCCATCATACTACATTTCAACTTCTCCTTGGTTGGGGAGCCCAGCCCCTCATCACAGAACCTTCGCCCTGTGTTGGCTGTGGGCTCACAGGACCTCTTCAATGCTTCTGTGAGTCTTCTGATGGAATCCCAGGGATGTACGGACTTTCATGATGTCTCTGTGTGTTTAAGAACCTATTTTGGTTCCCAACCACATCAAGTCCAAATTGCCTCCACCCAGTTACCAAGGGCCCTCTTCACTAGAACTCTTACACACATCCCAGCTGGTTACAACTTTACCTCAATGTAAACTATCTGGTTCTCATTTTTCAAATCCGTCCCAATGTTTCTCATTCCTACTTCTGTGCCTTTTTCCACATTGTATCTCCTCCTTGGAAAACATTTCCTTCTCTCCACGCCAAAGATATTCTCTAGCCCCAAAGCCTCAGTCTTATCTTTTACTCTTCTAGAAACCACATTCAGCATCTGTCACTCCTTCTCTGACTTCCTAGTACATCATGGTGATACCAACATTACATGAATCATAGCCATCTGCGTCTAGTTTTGAGAGTCTCTTAGAATTGTGGTTTCTATGAGTACAAGAACCATGTCTGATTCACTTGTAGTTTTCAGTTTTCCTAACTCTCTTTCCAACCCAGGACCTGCCCCTTTATTGACACTTAATAGTGTTTCCTGAATAATTGTTCCAATGTGAGTTGGATCCTCAACTAAACTTTATGTTCTTTGAGGCCAAGGATCTTATCATTCTTTTATATGTGAACTGCCCTTCCCCTACCGCCCCACTTCTTGTCAGTGTCTAGCACACTGTCGGGTGTAGGGTGCTCAGTAATACTCAGTAACGAGAATTACTCATTATTAGGAGGACTGCTCCTAATGAGGGGAATGAGAAAGGTTGCAACGTGGATTAGAAGAGAATATTCTGTTTTGCTGCAGCTCCCCTTTGAGAAGAACTGTGGACAAGACCGCATCTGTGAAGGGGACCTGAGTGTCAATCTCAGCTCTTCCGGGTGAGCTCTATCTGCTTTCATTTCTAGACACTTAAGCTTTTGGGTCTCCCATCCTCATAGGCTGAGATGTACTTATCTTTCCCTTTGGCTCTCCTTCTAACAGAGAAATTTTGATTGGAATGTCCTCAGCTCACAGTTCATGAGTTCCCACAGACCCGCCTGTGCCCCTGATCCAATTCCAACCCATTTCCAAAGGAGTCCCTTTTTCAGTTTTGTCCTTCCTCCTCCAGCCTGCAGACTTTGGTGGTAGGGAGCTCCGTGGAGCTTAATGTGACAGTGACTCTGTGGAATGACGGTGAGGATTCCTATGGAACTGTCATCAACTTCTACTACCCAGCAGGGCTGTCCTATCGACGAGTGTTAGGAATCCAGGTAAAGAGCTCCCTTGGGCTCTAGTTTCTGGAATCTCTTCCCTGCTCTGTGTTATACTAGTTTCCTTTTAATTCTTCTATGATGAAATATAAACACACACGCACACACACACACACACACAGAGTTCCAGAATCAGAGAGGAATGGAGGTAGGGAGGGGGGGAGAGAGGGTGAGAAGTACATAAAGCATATGTATAGTTTAATAAATAATATTAAGGAAATGTCTATGTAATTAGCATCCGGTCCAGAAATAATACACTGCTAGCACCCCCCAGTAGTTCTCCCTGTGCCTTTCCTCATAACTTCACTCTCTCCCTAAAGGTAATCACTAAAGGATATTAGGGATTGATTATCACAGGTCAGAATAGTGATTGCTCTTTATTAGATAAAACCATTGAGTTTTGCCAACATTTGAAATTTATATGAATGGAAACATGTTATATGTTCCTTTGTATACTTATACATTTCTTCAACATATGTTTGTGAAATTCATCCATGTTGCTCCTTGTGACTAGAAAACATTTTTATTGCTATGTGGAATCCCATTATATGGCTCTACCAAAACTTATTTACCCATTCCACAACTGATGGTCATTTGAGTTGTTCTCTGATATTGGCCATGACTATTTTTGAGGATGTATTTTGGTTCACCCATGCATAATAGTTGGAAGATGTATGCCAGATATAGAATTTCTGTATGTTCAATCATTCAATTCAAGCCAAACCATTTCCACCTATTTGCACTTCCAGCAGCAGTGTAGTTGAGTTCCTGTGTCTTTCCATCCACTCCAACACTTGGCATTGTCAGACTTTAACATGTTTGTCTATCTGGTGATAACTCCTTGCAGTTTCAATTTGCATTTCTTTAATGGAGTTGAGAAAATTTTAATTATTTCCTGGTCATTTTGATTTCTTCTTTTAGGAAGTGCTTGTCTAAGTCTTTTCATTATTCTTCTATTGAGTTGTCCATACTCCTCTAATTGTAAGAGTTCTTTAGTATTCTTGTTACTAATACTTTTCCAGTTTCATGTGTTTAAGCATATTTTCCAGTCCTGTTGCTTGTCTTTTAAGTCTCTGTAACGTGTCTCTTGATAAGCCAAATGTCTTGATTTGATTGTGGTTGGGTTTTATCAAGTCTTTTCCTTTGTAGTTAGTGTTTTTATGTGTGCATCTTGTGTCAAAAATACTTCCCTACTCCAAGGTTATGAAGATAATCCCCTGCATTATCTTTTAAAAGCTCTATCATTGTGCCTTTTCACATTGAATTTGTATCTAGTCGGAATTTATTTTAATGTATGGAGTGAGGTAGGGATCCAATGTTTTTTGCTCTTTTGTTTCTTTTATTTTGTTTTGTATTGGCCCATTTTCCTGGGATCCTTTATTGAACAGCCTGTCCTTTCCCCTACTGCTCTGCAATGCCACCAATGTTATACGTCTAGCTCACGTATGCACATGGGTAACATATTTGAATTTGTTTTCCTCCTCTGGAAGCAACCACACCAGCGTTCACTGCGCCTGGCATGTGAGGCAGGGCCCACGGAGAATGAGAGACTGAGGAACAGCAGCTGTAGCATCAACCATCCCATCTTCCACGAGGGCACTAAGGTGAGTGCTTCCCCCAAAATCCTCATCACTCTGCTCCTCTGTCCTTGTCCATTTCCTTCCCTCACTCCCCCATGACCTTCCTTATCCCCATTCTTTCATTCTTTTCCTCTCAGGGCACCTTCCTAATCACATTTGATGTCTCCTACAAGGCTGCCCTAGGTGACAAGTTGCTTCTGAGGGCCAATGCAAGCAGGTAAGTCCAAGTGTATCCCTCACTCTTCCATCTCATGCCCTAGTCAGAGATTCCTCTCCTGGATTCCTTCACAACTGGGCTTCCCCCCACCCCCCACTCTCTCTCCAGTAAGAAAAATAAGCCTACATCCACCAAGACCGCCTTCCAGCTGGAGCTCCCTGTGAAATATGCTGTCTACATGGTGATCAGCAGGTATTTAATACCTGCCCTCCCTTCTGACCTCTGACCTTCCTCTAAGCCTAGGACCTCCCATGGCTGCCCTGCTGCTTTTTAAAAGGATGGGTCTCTAAACTATCCCATCTGATACCTCTCATGGAAATACTTGTGACCAGCCTTACATTTATCTGTATCATAATACCATATATCATATATTTTTGCTTCTTCTCTGATGAAATGGCCTACTGATTGGATGCACATTTGCCACCATTGTGCACTCCTTCCTCTTTCTCCAAGGGGCAGGCTTCCTTTAACATTAAGCCAATTCTGGTTTTGGTGCTAAATGTGAATGTGCGGAGGTGAAACTAACTAGGTTAAGATTGAGGCTTTTTGAACACTCTGAAGTGGGGAATACGGTTTGTCACCACACAGCGGAAATAAAAGGTCAGGTTTTCACCAAACCAAAAGGAGAGCAGAGGTGTGAGAAGCTGCTGGGAAAGTCTCTAAGAGGTCAAGCCTGCAGCAGGCCACAGGACAGGCAAGTTCAGGGCTGTTGCTCTCAGTTCTGAAAGTGTGTGGAAGAGCAGGGGGGGGCCAGGCTAGAAGCAGGGCAAGGAGCTTGTGTATCTTGCTGAACTCCAGAAGTTTAGAGAGTTGATCAGAAGCTTATAATATTGCCATGGGACAAAGTTTGCTACTGTTGTTGCTGCTGCTGACACATGGAATTTGAGAGGAACTTGGTTGGGGGTGGTGATTAGACAGTGCGTCACTGCCCTTCCAAACTCCATGTCCTAATTTCCCCTTCTATCCATGGGAGAATAGTGAGACTTATAAGAGCTTACAGTTATATATCCTTATGATATACCAGGTATTGTAAATGTACTTAACATTCATTTAATTCTTCTAATAACTCTATGACATAGTTGCTGTTCACCACCCTTTTTTTTTTAGCAACAAAGAAATCAAGAGGTTAACTAACTTAACCCTGTCAGTCAGCTGGGAAGCAGTAGTACCATGAATCACTCAGATGGTGAGGCTCAAGAGCTTGTGATCATGAACATATACTACTGTGCCTCTCCAAGCATTGGGGAAGCTGAGTGATTTACTCAAATTTGAAAGGAGAATAGAACTGAGGTTTTAAGGTGAGAAAACTGAAGCACAGAGAGAAACAGTTCAGACCAGAAACATAGAGGAGGGATAATGCACTGAGAGGAAAAATAAATTCTAAGATTTATGTCATTGCTGCAAACTTCATCACAACTCTATTACAGGCACTATCATTAGCATCCTCATGTTAAAGAAGAAGAAACTACAGGGCTCCAGAGAGGTTTGGTAACTTGCCTTAAGTTAGTTGGGTAGGAAGTGGTAGACTGAAATGTGAACCCAGATTGCTTGGCTCCAAAGCCTGTGTTCTTAATCATCAAACTGACAGTCACATCTGTGGTACAACTGTAGGCACCCATGGAGTTTCTGGCTGGCTGGCCTGGCTTCTGCACATCAGTTGCTGGTGAAATGTGCAGGTCCCTTTGCTTGTTTGCTTGACTCCACTGAGACTTGGATGATAACTCTGGGAAGGCAGGGATTATGGGCTGTTAACTGTTGTGTCTCCACAGTCAAGCACACAGCCAGTCACAGGATAAATATTTACTGAAAGAAGCAACGGATGGATGGATTGATGGATGAATGGAAACCCACCTGCAGCCTGGGACATTTATGTCCACTCCAGGGGCTTGTGTTCATGCACATCGTCCCTCACATTTACTTAGTTGTGCCAGGATAGCCACATTTATTTTCTTCTTTTGTCTGGAGGGCCTTGCACTGCATTCTGTCCTGAGTGATCCAGCCATGACTCCCTTGAGTCCCCTTCAGCATTACCTAAGGCCAACCATGTAACTACTAGAGGAGAGAGTTTTGAGAATGACTTCTTCCCATGGGAAAATGTTTAAATGTTATAATAGGTAATGTTTAAGTTGGACCTTGAAGTACAATTTTTCAGAAGGGGATGCTAAGTATATTCCAAGCAAAAGAAAGAACGTCAACAAAGTTATGGGGACGTGAAAAACCCAGCGTATCAAAAGGCAAGCAAGGAGTTCTAGGTGACCGGGGGAAAAGACATGGGAGAAGAGCTGAAGCTGAGTGTGCAGAAGCATGTGGGAACTATAATTGTTTCTCTGGGCATTCTGCTGCGTCCACAGAGCCTTTGGCAGATGACTGAGGCACATGTGAGGATGGCTCGAGAGCTGTTTCTCACCAACCAACCCTCTCTCTCCAGGCAGGAAGAATCTACCAAGTACTTCAATTTTTCAACTTCTGATGAGAAGAGCAAGAAAGAAGCTGAGCATCGTTATCGTGTGAGAAGCCAGGGAGCGTCCATAGTTTCCCTCCCATGGTGCTGCTAATGTTGGGAGCTGGTGGGAAAGAGAGAGAGTAGCTGAGGGCTAAGTCCAGGACAGGAGTAGGATTTGGGATGCTCTGGGGACCCCAATAACGTTCTGTCTCCATTTTCTGCAGGTGAATAACCTGAGTCAGCGAGATGTGGCCATCAGCATTAATTTCTGGGTTCCTATCCTGCTGAATGGTGTGACTGTGTGGGATGTGGCAGTTGTGGCCCCTTTAGAGGTGCCTGCTTGCCTTTCCTAACACTCCGGAATCTGACCCCACCGTGCCTCACACTGTCTTACCAGTGAAATGTTGATCATTCTGTGGCTATTTGTCTCTCTCACTAGAGTGTCAGCTGTGTGTCAGCGAAGGAGCCTCCCCAGCATCCTGACTTCCTGACCCAGAATCCAGGGAGTCTTGTGCTGGTGAGAAAGACCCTGGATTCCCAATGCAGGACCATCTGAATATTGGGGGATATAGAGAAAAATCTTGCTAGGTTGCAGATGTATATACATGTCCTATACTTGTTCGTCTATTCCCAACCCCAAACCTGACAGACTTTGTTTTCTGCTGTGGTTCTTGCCTAAACTAAGATCCTCCTCAACTCGGGGCACTTGGGTGGCTCAGTCGGTTAAGCATCCAACTTCAGCTCAGGTCATGATCTCACAGTTTGTGGGTTCGAGCCCCACATCAGGCTCTGTGCTGATGGCTCAGCCTGTTTCAGATTCTGTGTCTCCCTCTCTCTCTTCCCCTTCCCCACTCATTCTCTGTCTCTCAAATCTGAATAAATGCTAAAAATTTAAAAAAAAAAAAAAAAAAAAAGATCCTCCTCAACTCTTTCGTCTGCTGTCCCTAGAACTGCTCCATTGCTGACTGCCTGAGGTTCCGCTGTGACCTGCCCTCCTTTGAAATCCAGGAGGAACTTGACTTCATCCTGAAGGGCAACCTCAGCTTTGGCTGGAACAGCCAGGTGTGTAGGCCCAACAGCAGAGTCCCTCCCCAGGACTCAGGTGCCACCAGATGATGTCTGTGTCCATCCTCCAGCCAGGATATTTCTTGAACTCTGTGCCTTTCCAAGTGCCAGTTCCTCATCTGTGCCTCATCTGTTTTGTAGACATAGCAGAAGAAGATATTGATTGTGAGTGTGGCTGAAATCACGTTCAACAGATCCGTGTATTCCCAGCTTCCGGGACAGGAGGCATTCTTGAGAGCTCAGGTAGTGACTGTGTGATAGGCAGTGACCAGGCTGGTAAGAGGGCTCCTAATGCAAAATCTGTGGTGCCGTGTGGGAGGCTCACAAGCCCAGAGGGAGGAAGAATGAAGGTCCCTCAGCAGGAGAGTGGTCGCAAAGCCCAAGAGTGTTTCTGTATGTCACCCCTTGGAGTAAAGGAAGGAGGGGAGGGAGTTAAAGGTTGGGGAACCTGGGAAGAGTCTGGGACAGCAGGAGTTCTGTTACTTTCTGATGAGGTCATCTCCACTCCAGATGGAGATGGTACTGGAGAAGCATGAGGTCTACAACCCCATCCCCATTATTGTGGGCAGCTCTGTGGGAGGATTGCTGCTGCTGGCTCTCATCACCGCCGTCCTCTACAAGGTGAGTGTTTTAATACCAGTAGCTTGCAGCCCCAGCCCTCTGCCAGACAGGATAGTATAGTGGGAAGAACTCAGACAATGGAGTCAGGCCAGCCTGTGTGTGCATTTTGTCTCTGTCTTGCCCACTCTTTAATATCAGGTAATTAGCTCAACTTCTCTGAGCTTGTTTTCTCATTTTTGAAATGATAATCATACCTGTATCTACAAAGTAGCTTAAGTGAGACACAAATGAGGCCAGGTATATGTGTAGGCTTCCCTATGAATCAATGTGTTTTAGTATATTTAATGCACAACTATTGTGCTCGGCACACAGTAGATAATACATAACAGCTGTTGTTCACATAAGTGTTCTGGTACACAAGTACGAGTCAGCTTATTTCCCTTCTCTTCTTCTCTCTCAGCCTCTTCCTACTACCAACTTTCTTCCCTGCCCTCTTACCGAGCTTTTCTGATTTACTTCCCCTCACAGCTTGGCTTCTTCAAACGTCAGTACAAAGAAATCCTGGGTAACAAACCTGAAGACAGTGCCACATTCAGTGGGGAGGATGTCTGCTGTGAGGACCCAGATTTGCCTTCGTCCTAATAATTTACTTTCCTGTTTGTCTCCACCCTCATAGCCTCGGCTTGACTCTGCCTACAAACTTACTTCCATGGGAATAGCTTCTGTATAGATCTAGAGTGGACTGAGCAACTTACCAGGTGCTAAGCCACCTTCTCAAGGCATTGAAAGGTTTTTACATTTTAACAGATTTTAACAGTGATGACCCACTTTTTACAGAAGCAAGCATGATGCCAGCATAAATTTTAATATATGTAAGAATTGCGATATTCAACAAGTGTGTTTATAAAACATTCTTCTTTCATCAAGGAGCTTTAATTTAGGGACTTGAGTGCTGTTCTGGGAAGAGTTGAGGGACCCTGCTTGTGGGCCTAGAAAACATTCTTTCACTTTTTCAGGTGATTGATGCCTGAGTTAATCTTTTTTAATGGTGCTATGTGTAGCATCAGGGGAGAAGCCAAAGGAAGAACTCTATGTGTGTGTTGCTCATGGGTTTCAGCACAGGCTTCAGGCTTTTTGGTAATGGCAAGTGAGCAGACTGTCCTAGGAGGTAAGTGAAATGCCCTGAACTTGTCTGAACCAATATCCCCCTTGAATGAGGTCCTCAGAGGCTATGAGAGCCAAGCTTCCAGAAAGGAGCGTATGATTCCCCAAACTAATACAGAAGACTCATTAAGAGTGGTCATAGAAAATAGCTAAAATATTCCAAATCCAAAGTTAGGACATGAAGCCTCACACAGAGGGCTGTTGGTCCTCTCTTTGAAATCAGGATTGTTTCCAAAAACCAGAATTCACAGATACTGTGAGTATAAACCAGGTGACAAGTGACACTTTAGAGTCTGCAGTCTTGAGTTTCCAGGGACCTCTGACTAAGGCCCTCATTTAATCTCTGAGAATCTCAATTCCTCCTCTGAAGAAGGGGAACCAAAATTATACCTTGTTCCCAGAGTTACCGTGAGGACTCAGTGTTATGTGAAAGACCTTTACAGGCTATAGCCCTAATTATCAATATGTGAGAGAAAAGGATGGAGATCTCCTACTTAGGCATCAAGGATGTTCCCCAGCACACCTCCCAAATCACGGCCTTGGGAAGAGCACGTAGACCACAGACTGCACTGTGCACCTGAGCCCAGTGGAGCTCATTGAAGGCCTCTCCCGCCCCATCCTGGTTCCCAGAGAGGCTGCAGACACACAGCTTCCACACCTTTATTGAGGCTGCGGGCATCCGCTGGGGCCTCAGGGCCGTTCACTGTTCATAGCCGGTGGGCAGAGGGTTGACACGGGGATTGTGGAAAAGCGTGTGGTTGCCGTCTCCCCAGGAGTAGGGCTGTGAAGAGAAGAAGAGAGGATTGTCAGCGCGGTCCCGACCAGACCAGGGGGTCCCCCAGCACCCCTGGCCCTCCTGAACCTTGCTCCCACTCTGAGGGCTGAAGCTTCAGGCCAGCGTACCTTGGTGCGGATACGGAGGTGGTGGTATGGGATGAACTTTGGGCGATCGCGATGGCCCGCGTGAAGCCAGGAGTTAAGGGTGCAGAGGGCCACACTCGGGAGCGCCAGCACAAAGGTCAGGAGGCGCCAGGTGCTGGCTACAGCAGGGTGGGGGGAAGGCAGAGATGAGAGAGAGGTGGGAAAGAGGGGAAGGATTGGTCGGTGGGGGTGAGGTGGGGGGCGGGGCGGTTGTCAGAACCTTGGAAGGCACAGAGGTGGGAGAGGGGTACAGGCAGGCAAGCCCCAGGGTCAGGCCCCAGCCCCACTCACCTCCTGCCCCTCCATGGTCTCCCTTCGCTGTACTTGCCAAGCCCCGACTCAGGGACCTCAGAGGCAGAGCCATTGTGGTGAGGGAATCGGGAAACAGCGCACTGCCCTTTCACTCTCCTTCACCGCGGTCTAGATTCCACTCCCCTCTTTTCGGGCCAATCACCTGTTGAGTCTGTAACATAGATGGCTATTTTTAGAGGTTTTCTATATTTAAAATGAGGCCTTACTGGCCTGAGGCCCTTCTCTCCAGACATCTGCCATTTGGTGCTTCTTATTTTGATAAGGGGACATTTAAAAACAATATGCCATTCTTTTTATAGTTGCAGAGAACTATTTCCTTCAATAGTCTAGTTCCAGTGGGTGGCACACAGTAGGTTTTTAGTATTTGTAGAATGAATTAAGTGACCTTTTGAATCTCAGTTTTTTCATCTGTAAAATATATACAAATTTATACCTTAAATGAAGTTTATGAGATTTAAGTAAAGTATCATAGGAATATGCCAGTGTAGAGTCTGGCACATAACAGTAGCTCAGTATATGGATTAGTCACAATCTTTTACAAAGAATAGAACTCATTCTAACTGGTTTTTAAAATATAAGCAATTGAGAATCTTAGGTAGCTCACAAGTACCTCTGGTATGGCCAGCAATCTGTGCAGCCAGAAACAAGCCATTCTGTGGGCCAGCTACAGTGGGACTCCACCGTGATTTGCACTGCTATACTCCAGATGCCAGAAACTTCACCCATGCTACCCTGGAAAAACAGATTCTTCCACCCTCACACTCTCTGGAAAGTGGATTTTTCATGAAGTTTGTTTGCATCCTTGAGTTGGTGTCTTCTGAATCAGAGATATCATGTGGGCCCCAGTTGACAACAGCTAGGTCACTGCCTGTACTCTAGCTTCAAGAAGGGGTGGGAAATCGAGTTTGCCTTCTGCCTTAAGGAGGCAGGAATTATATCTTGGAGAAAATCCCCAAATGCAAGAAGAGTATTCGAAAGATACTGGATGGGGAGTCTGGGTGGCTCAGTCGGTTAAGTGTCCGACTTCAGCCTAGGTCATGATCTCCTAGTTTGTGAGTTTGAGCCCAGAGTTGGGCTCTGTGCTGATGGCTCAGAGCCTGGAGCCTGCTTCAGATTCTGTGTTTCCCTTTCTCTGCCCCTCTCCCACTTGTTCTCTCTCTCTCTCAAAAATAAATAAAAACATTAAAAATTTTTTAAAAAATATGCTGGGTAGCCACAGACTTGACAAGTATCTACTGCTAAGTATGTTATTTCAAGCTGAAAAATCTGATTACATGGAGGAAAAAGAAAGCCTGGGTAGACCTCTATAAGCCCTGTATCAAAGCAGGTCATTCGAAGGCTACAAGACATAGCAGAGCTGATTTCTGCCTGGTTCACTGTTCTTTCCTCGGCACTAGCGCAGAACTTGGCATGAAGTAGTTCTAAAAATAATGTTTGAACCATGTTACATTGGTAAACCCTATATAAATGCTTTTGTCGAACTACAATCTTACAGATTGTCTCCAACTTGGATCAGGACTGATGTGATGGACCTAATATGAATTTAATATGTAAAAGAAAAAATGATTTTTTGTAATTAATCTGAATAGACATAAGAAAAATGAGGAAGGTACATTTTCAGGAAAGGGCTCCATACTTGTTCCTTCTATTGGTTTGAAACTGAACAGTAGCTTCTACTTAACTTTGAGGCTTTTTCTTTTCTAAGCAACCTTGTTGGACAGTCAGATGTTACATGGTGCTTCTAAATTGTTTCTGAGCTCTCACTGAGCTATAATGGAATTCTTCCTATAATTGCTTTTTCCTTGTTGGACTTCGGAATTGCTGCTGACATGGCCCTCATTCCCGTTCAGGTTACTTGGCATTTCCCTCCACACACAGTCTCCTCAGCTTATGATTATGGCTTTTGGAGAAAGCATATGACCAGGGGTATTTTTACTTGAAAACATTCTAGGCTCTCCTCCCTCTACTCAGAGCTTTGTTGATCATTGCCTAACAATTGCTTGAGCATTCCCATCACTTTGTCTCAGCTTGGAAATTTCAGTGAAGAGTCTTCTTGCTGCTACTTGGTGAATGCCCTGAGAGATGCTACCATCCTCTGCTACTGTCGCCCTCATGTGGTACACCTGTCAGGTACCCAGCTTTCTATTTAGATAGTCTGTGCTCTCCTAGGCTTTCCTATGCTTTCAGTGTAGAGGCAATGTAGAGCAGGTCGTTCAGTCTTTGTACCCACCATTGTTTCATAAGGTCTCTCTCACACAGTCAATTGATTGGGCTGCCTCCAAAGCTTCTAGTGTCTAGAGGTTTAGGTTTTACTTTAGGTGGAGGGGAGAACAAACTTTCCAGTTGTTAAGTAAACCCCAGTGGGCAGCATCCCTGCCCCTGTCTAGACATGCTTCAGCTGTTGGTGGTGAAGGGTATGGAGAGACAATTCCATGCCAGTTTCTCTTTACCTCTTTTCCTGGGATGCTACATATCATGACCATATTCTCCAAAGCAAAGATCAACATCTGATCTACTGTGTACAAATTTTGTTTATGCGGAGGCCTAAGATGGAATACCTGAAATTAGCATTGTCCCAGAAAGACAACTGAATGATGATACAGAACAAGAGTTAGTGAAGATGAACTGTGAAGGGATTTAGAGATAAGACAGAATCAGGGTGGAGCTCACTAGTGGGCTAATGACAATGGGATTTGAAATGGGGCTACTGGTTCCCTCTGCCCTTGGAGTCAGAGAAGCTTGTGGTCATCTATTATTTTGTGTCTCTGCCCAACATACTCATGCCTTCTTTTGGTAATAACACCCTGGGTTTTCTTTGTAAAATCATCACTCCCTTCTCATCTTCAGTTCACAGTTCAGGTGGGGTTGACTCCTTCCTCCAACTCCAAGAGGGGCCACATGATCCAGGCCTACCCAACCAGAACATTCTGTCCTCCTAGCCGTAGTAATTGGTTTGGGAGGAGTACATGTCCATGAGTCTCAATTTGGAGACTTCTTTCTTGGATTATAGAGACATAATAATATTTTATCTGGACTTGGAGTTACTGGAGCCTCAGGCTGGAACCTTAGATTGAAGCCAATACTGAAGTCATTTTTCAGAGCAGACCTGAAAGACAGGGATAAATCGAGCCTTGTCAATATTATTTGAACCCCTGGATCAAGATGTACCAGAATTGAGAAAGATCTGTACCCTTAGACTTTTCAGGTGCATAAAATAACAAAAAGATGGAATTGTAAGTCTTCATTAATTCCTAAACATTTTCTGTGAAACTATATCCTATCTCTAAACTTTTACCAGTGAATTTGTGATTTCTCTTATCCTGTACTATAGTCTATGTTTTATTGAAACTTTTTGCCTTCTTTGTAGATGAAACTTTTTTTAGAATTAAACTGATTTGTTTTTTTAAGTTTTTTTTTAATGTTTATTTATTTTTGAGAGAAGACAGACAGGG